AGATACATGAGTTATGTCAGTAGGCCGGCACAACATGCAAATATACGGTTACATTATTGACTGTTTACAATAATGAAGAACAAAATCATTTTACTGGAATTTTGCCACAATGGCAGTTCTATCTGCTTAAACAAAATACATTTTGATGTCCACACAAGGACATGGTTAAGTGTTTCAATGAGTTGCCTCAGTTTTCTTTTCTAAAGGGAAAGGCTTAGACTAGAGATAGCAATGTTTCTCAAACCTTGTGGTTGCTGAGCAGGATATTCTGTGCAATGGGAAGAGAGATTATGTGAGAAAATTTCAGTGCTGATGATATTTTCCTTTGTAAGCTATATGATATAAGATACAGAATTAATTATAAACACAGAATTTTTAAGGGTGAAAATAAGCTTAAGTTTCTCTACTTCACACATTTTTTTAATGCTTCCCGCTCCTATCCCTTATCTACTCACAGGATGAGCATTTGTAGATTTCCTCAAGATATTTCAAACCCCAGAGTATTCTTTGGCCAGATTAGTTTGGACAAGATGAATTCTAAAGTTCTTTCTAGCTCTAATTCTGTTTCCATGAAATGCCTAAGCTTTATTTGCCTGAAGTTTTAGTTTCAGTGAGCCATGAGATTTTTGTATAATTGGACTCCTACCATGCCATTTTATTTTGAAAACTATTGTTGTTAAATAATAGAAGTAAATGGAAAATTCTTTGGAGATGATGGTTCAGTGGTGATTTGAATTATTTAAATAGTATAAAAATTTGATAGTCATAGAACCTTAATTTCATTTCATTATCCTACTATGTTTGATATTCTTTCAGTCACTAAAGAGTACCTAAACTATTATTATGCAAAGGAGGTATTTGATAGTTTTTCCAGGTAAACCGCTATTTTGGTTAATTTATATACCAAAGGGGATCTATTAGCCAGCATGATCTGGTTTGACTTTTAACATTCATCATATTAAGTAGATTATTACTAAATTTGCGTTCATATTTTCCCTCTGCTTTCAGCCTTTACAAATGTGTCCAAAAGTCAGATCTCTGGGGTCTTATTCTGTCTTTCATACCAGTTCCACTTTTCAGTTTGATTTAGTTCACAGTTTTAAAGGAACTACTCTGAGCAAAGCACACAGTGCTAGGTGATGAGGGGAATACAAAATTTAGATAAGACATAGCACATGGCTATTTTCACGGAACTTGCAGACTAGTGGGCCAGATAGAATATGATTTTGTGTCTATCCAATGCTTGCATATCAATAGGCATAATTATTATGAAAACACTGTTTAGCAGATTGGAGGTCAGCAAAAATTCATACTTCACTGCTGGATCCTTCAAATAGATAATTTCATTTGTCTTATTGATTAAAGTAATTTCTAATACATAAATTATTTGTGGATAGTAAATCATGTGTTTAATTGTAATAGGTCATTTTGATCATTATCTGACTAACTTACTGACCCTCTCTGGATAAGACTAAATACACATTTTAGAGAAAAAACTGGTATACTTAGTCATCGGTGCTAAGTTTGTCAAAAGAGAAACCTTAACAAGTATTTCTTTGAAATCTTAAAGCTATTCTACGCAAATGAACAGAAGCATACACAGGTCTAGTTACATATTCTCTTTTTAAATAAAGAATAAATTATGTGACTAGAAATGTTGAGAAAATGCATTAAACAGTGGCAGACATTTTTTTCTTGAGAGACAGTGTGGGGCAGCTAGGTGGCACAGTGAATAGAGCATCGACCCTGAAGTCAGAAGGACCCGAGTTCAAATCTGGCCTCAGACACATAATACTCACTAGCTATGTGACTGGGCAGGTCACTTAACCCCAATTGCCTCACAAAAAAAAAAGAGGGACCGTTTGGCCTTGTGGGTAAAGAATTGGCCTTGCATATGGAAGACTTCAATTTAAATACCATCTCTGACATACTGGCTGTGTGACCTTGGGCAGACCAGTTAATCTCTCAGTGCTTTAGGCAATTTTCTAAAACTATAATTTCCAAAGAAGATGCCGACCTACTTTGCCTCTTTTATGAATAACCTATACCCGGGGTGGGGAGCCTGGAGGCCACAGGTTCCCACCCCTAATACTTTTAAAATCACAGGTCTATTCTTTTCACTTATCTATCTATCTATCTATCTATCTATCTATCTATCTATCTATCTACCTATCTATCTGTTTACTTACTTATTTATTTATTTATGGCAATTGGGGTTAAGTGACTTGCCCAGGGTCACATAGCTAAAGTGTTTGGTCTGAGGCCAGATTTGAACTCAGGTCCTCCTAACTTCAGGGCTGGTGCTCTGTCCACTGTGACACCTAGCTGCCCCTTGGTTTATTCTTTAAATACAGAAAAGTTCCATGATTGATAAAATTGCTTATTTTTATATATAATCATGTAATATCTTCTTAAACACAACTCCATGTACAGTGAAAAAATCCTACAGTTCTATTTGTCCAACAAGATATTATAAAGAATCTCTATGTTTATAGTTTATTATGCATACCATTAGACATTTATTTTCAAGATTTTCCCCCAGTGCATATTTTTTGGTAAACTTTATGGGTAAAATATTTTGTATATGTGTGTGTGTGTGTCTGTGTAAATTTTCAGCATCTTTGCATTACAACAAATTGTAAAAGCCCAAGAATAATTTTTAATTTTTGACAGGTGAAGAAATGCTGAGTTCATGAAATTTAAAAAATTAAACATTTCTTTAGAGAAAAAAAAATAGTAGGAAGAAATGATGGCATCAAAACTGGAGGGTTCTTTTTCATTTTGTTTTGTTTTTTTGTTTTTTCTTCTCTTTTTTTAAACAGGATATAGTTGACTTTGTCTGACTATATGAACTAAAAATATATTTGGAGATCCCATTAAGATATGTTTTCACAGTTCACATATTGAATGGAAAAAAAGTGTAGAGGGATTTGTTGGCATTTAAAAACATGTAATGCTACAAGAAGATATAATCTGAGCTTTCCAAAAAAAGGTCTTTTAGCTCAAGTCTAAATATAAACACAGAAGTTCACTATCAAATGGAGCAGCAACAATAGCAGTGGTGGCTCATGAAGGTGGTGACTGACATTTTCCCTCCCTCCTGTGCCAGATTTTCTTTTCTGAGAGCCTCAGATGCCTCTTGAGTTGTTTTCCTTTTTATAGCCTTTTCACCCAGATGTCCTTCATCATGCCTGCATCTTAAGCACGTGAATTTCTAAAAAGATGAGTCTCTTCTTTTGAATGTCTTACCACCAATACCTTTTCTTTCAAATTGGCTTTTTTTGAACAGGGTCTTCCCTGTCATCACCATCTTCCTGCCATTAATCGCATCCCATCCCATCTTGCCAGGCCTATAGAACTGTTTGTGTCAAAGTTCCATGGTGCACTTTGTTTCTCACCCATTCTCTGCTTACACAGACACCTGGAACCACATTCATTGCTTATTCATTGCTATTATTCCTTATATTCATTATTCATTTTGTTCTTTTTCCTTGTGAATTCCCCCCACACACACACACACATGAACATCATACTTCTTTCTCTCTAGGGTATCTGGTTTTTAAATTTTTATGTAAACATTTCTCTACCTCCTCCTCAAATGTAAGATTAAGTCCTTTTTAGTTTAGATTGCTAGATTTTAGAATTTCCATGGGTAGAGGTCCTGTAATGCCAACATTGGTAGGAGGATGGAGCACAATAGGTCTTAGAGTTGGAAGAGGGTACAGGTGGTGCCTCCTGCACAGTATGTGGGAGATTCTCCAGGGATTCACCTTCCTTACTCAAGTTGCAGGGCACAGCAGGAAAAAGTCTATTTTTCTGAGTTGATAAAACACCTACCCCTCCCCCACCCCTACCCGGGCAGTTAAGCCCATTAACCACTTACCTACTGCACAGGTTCATAAGAAACCATTTTAAATGTTTTCCTCTAATTTTAAAAGGAAAATATAGTAGTAGTACTTTAACCCTATTGTGCTCTATTCTCCTACCAATCTAAACTAGACTATCAGTTCTAAATTTATGATTTTCTAAGGTTTTCGAAAATGTGGTTTTCTAAAAATGCTCTAAATCCCAGTAGAATGTGAGTTCCTTAAGGGCAGAGACCATGTTAGTTGCCTATTTGTATCCCAGCCTTTAGTACAGGATCTGGCCAATAGCAAATAATAAATGTGTGTTGACAACTTTTTCCTGTGTCCAGTCTCTCCCCTCCAAAAATCCTCAGCCTGTTGGAGCTTTCCACAATTTAGCTCCCACCTACCCTTTTTTATTTCATAAAATGATGCTCATTCTGTTTCAGAAAAAGTGACCTGCTAGCTATTCTGTCTGTAAGTCATTCCACCTCCCAACTCTCGGTCATTGTCTATAATTCAGCCTTTTCAAATTCCTGGCTTCCTTTAAAACATAGCTTAAGTATAACATCCACAATGGGATCTTTTTTGATACCCTGAGTTACTAATATTATTGAATTTGAAATTTTCTTATATTATTTTTTATTTACTTACTTGTAAATATGCTACAATCCCCTAGGAGAAAGTAAGCCCTCTAAGATTAGAGAGAATTTAGTTTTTTTTCTGTGTTCCCTGTCTGGCATTGTGACTTACACATACATATTAAGTGCCTAAGAAGAGTTTTGAATTGAATTAAACTTAATCTTCATTTATTGTGATTTCTAGCTTTTAGAGAATGTCTTAAAATATAGTAATACCATCATAGATGAAGTAATTTGTCATAAGCTTGACACATTACAGGAAGGTTCAAAGTCAGTGTATATTTATCACATAATATAATTGATGAAATTAATGCATATTAATTGCATAATAATATAATTGATGAAAACCCTTTGAGGTTACTCTTCCTTTACTTTCAAGGAAATTGCAAGAAAAATGAATAAGGAGAAAGAACAATTGTTTCCTGTAGATATTTATTATGATGATGTTTTCCATGCTGTCAGCTCTTAGTGGCCTCTGATATATCTAATGAGTATCATTATCCTTCTTTTTCAGATGAGCAAGAGATAGTGCAAAAACGGACTTTTACAAAATGGATCAACTCTCATCTGGCTAAGGTACTAAATACTATTGTATTTTAATTATACTTGGTGCGTGATATGAAGAAAGTGTTATTGTTACTTACTCAATGAAATTCATGGTTTAGTCCAGGTCTATGAAACAGTGCAACCTATTGGTCAGCAACCAACTGGTCAACAAAGAATAAGGATAGTTTCTTTGTTGTCAACTTTGTAAATCCTTGTCCTATATTTCAACATAGGATCTTTTCTAAATTATGTGTTTATTAGACATAGATTTACTAGTGGGAATATTTTTTTTCTGTCATTGAAACTCCCAAAGGATACATAGAGCTCCATAAGAATATTTCAATTCATCTGGATAGTTGTAAAAACATCATAAAAGTGTTACAGAAGAGTTACACCTTAGCACCATGATCCTTTGGTCCAAATCATTCTCACAATGGAGCTTCAGGCATTCTGACCTCATTGAGCTTTTAGTAACTCCACACATACGTTGTAACCTGTTTTTCATGTATGTTGTACTACATGGTTAATCATGATCCATTCAGAGAAAATCCAGGTCAGTACAAATCATCAGTGCAAGTAATGAATGCCCTTAGCATTATCCAGATTCACACTGCATATGTTTATTGGGCTTGAACCAATGACCATATTTTATACAATACTTTGAAGAGTGTTAATGGGGAGTGATTTGGGGTGTGGGGGGGGGGGGGAAGAGGGGATTGTTGGTCATTTTTCTAACTATTTGGGACTTAAAACAAAAATTACCTCAGAAGTTTTTGTATTTCATTTAGAAAAACAAATACAGACTTCAAGAGAACCTCTGAATTCATCCTGTCAGGATCTTTGGGTTGAGGCTATCTTCCCTACACTGACAGGATCAATCACTTGAGGTACCACTAAAAATAGTTTCTGAATTGATGATGGGGGGCTGAGGGGAGGAGACTTCACATAATGCCTCAAAATCCATTCTTTTCCTTCTCATTGTCATTTTCTCCTTTTGTATTTTTTTAGACAAGCAAAGGGAGAAAGGGAGAAAATAGTGTAAAATAAAGATCCCTCTTCTCCATGTGGCCATGGTGGTTGCTTGGTGTCCAGACTAACAAACAAATTCTGCAGCTTTGGAAATACTTCTTGATTGGGGTGGGTAGGAGAGAGGCAGGGCTTGGTGCAGAGCTTCCTTGAGCCTATCTTGGCAGGTTTCAAGGCTGAGGATCATTTGTATGGGATGTTGATAAATCTGATGTATCCAAGTACCTAATGCCTAAGTGAGGATAATCTGCTTGCATGTATGCAAATGCCTTTGCATTTAATGTGGGGGTGAATTTTCTTTTAAAAAGCATTAAAGTTTTCACTATATTTTCACTCAATTAGAGGCATAGGAGGTAGAGAAGAGTTTTGCTGATTGAGAAAAAAGTTATTAAAAAACAAAAATGTGAAATGGTATCGAGTCATTATACTTTCATACTTTTCAAATTGACAATGAAAATGCAATGAAAAATGGCAGAGTTCCCCATTTGTAGGACATATAGGGCAGATTTATCAATACTTCCTCCTAGTCTTATTAGCAGGTAAATATTTCATGAACTCCAGATGAAATATAATCTGTCTTCTTGATTGGATTGCAGTATAGTTGCTGCTTATGATTCAGCAAGTTGTATCAGGCATGAAATGACCTTCAACACCCTTGAAATGGTAACTCATTAGTAGAAAATTTTTTAAATTGTATTTAAGACTACATTTTAGTTTAAGACGTGTAAATGTTTTTAGGGGCTTGTATTCTTCTATTCCTAAAATACTGAAACATGGTACTAAATATTTCTAAGATGTTTATTTTTATTAAAAATATTTATTTTGATTTGTAGTGTAACAATAACTTTATTCTATTTCATGTTATATTAACCCATTGTGCGTTGATTGCCTGTTTTGATAAATGAAAATACTGTTTGGAAATTGCATTGGACTTGGAAGCAAGAGAAAGCTAGGCTGAAATTCCATCTCTGACACTGAGTGATCATTGGCAAATTGCTTGATTTCTCTCAGCCTCAATTTTCCTTACCTACAGAATGAAGTTAATAATAATAATTGTAGTATTCACCTCAGAGGGTTTTGAAAATTAAATAAAATAATGTCTTAAAGTTCTTTGCAAACCTTAAGGAGCTAAAGAATGTCTATCACAACAACTAGTGCTACATCTGCTGCTACTACTCTATGATAAATGCTGTTTTTCTCACTGCCCCAAGAACATTACATGTTCATTCCTGGTCATGTTGTTCTCCATCTTCTGACTGGGATGTTCTCTGTTCTTCAGAATAAAATCTTACTTATCTTTTAAAGCTAACACAAGCTGTGTTTCTACCCTGAACTCTTTCATAACCAAAAGAGAACTGATTATGTAGTTGGAGGACCTGAGTTCTGATCCTGCCAATTGAACTCATTACCTAGATTTTAGTTTGCTCAACTACACAATGAGGGAGTTAGACCAAACAGCCTCTAAGGTCTCTTCCAAATCTAGATCTATGAATCTAACACATTCATTTATATTCCTATCCTTTAAATCAGTCATTCACTCAAGAATTATTTTTTGAGTCATAGTTTTCCTGTATTAGATACTTGTGGGGAATACTAAGAACTCCCCTACAATGTAGTTCTATACCACATGGATGAGTATTTCATCCTATGTTGTCTTGTATTTTTCATTGTAGTTTTTTGTGTGTTAGTTTGGTGTCTCCAACTAGATCACAAGCTTCTTAGAATCAGTCATTCAACAAACAAATGTCTATTAAGTGCCTACTACATGCCAGGCACTGTGCTAAATTTTGGGGATATAAAGTAAGGCAAAAACTTAGTCTTTGGTCTCAAGAGAGTCTTTATAGCACCTAGTACAATTTTTTACAGAGAGGTAGCTCAAAAATACTTTTTAAATAAAAAAATACACATCAATTGAATACTATCTTGCTCTTATTTTTAAAAAAAAAAAGATCAGTGCAAGTAAGGTATATGGCCTGTGTAAGCTATTGTCATTTTAAGCATATGTCACTAATCTGATTCCCAAATTAGCCTTAGATTTAAACTAGTGTCTGAATATTTATCTAGTATCTATCACAACTAGCCAATCAAGGTATCATTATTACTAATTTTATCTGGCTAGCAAAGTAGCAATGTAATCATAGAATCATAGAAGGCATGTAATTCCTTGCCTCCAAGATAAACTCCACATGAACTGTCTCTGACATGCACTTTGTTCAGATTTTTCTTAAACATCTCTCAGGAAGCAGAAAGAACATAATTTTATGGTCTTCTGCAGGATTAGTTTACTATGTCACTATCGAATTGATCTATAGTATAGGTATTCCTGGCTATAAAAAGTTAGAATTTTAAGGTAATTTATGTATAGCTTAAGGAAGATATTGATTGAGGGAATACATTTTCATCATTGTAAGATGAGAAGCATAAAAGAAACTTTGAATAAGGATGTGGAGCAAAAAATAGAAAATCCAAAAATTTCAATCTTTAAATATTCATGTATTTCAGTATAAAATACTGAAACGCTGAGATGTGAATTGTGACTATCTGGGATTTTATACTTCATAATGACAAATTTCCATCAAGTCCCACCACCATGCACTGCAACCAGAGTGGTTAAGCTGCTGTTTACAGTGGTCAATCTGGGATATGTAAGGGTTGCTGTGAGAGTTTAACATATGTTACATTATCAATAGGAAAGCCAGTGGTCAGGGAGGGAAGCAGCAAAAGAAAGGAGCAGAGGAAAAACACAATCCATGTGTGAAATAAGATGACATGTTGAGAAGTAGACACAAGAGGGGACAAACAGTAGGAGAAGTGGAACAGTAAAGCCAAGAGTAAAAAACCGGGAAGAAACCAGAAACTGGATTGGCCATGGTGGACTTAAGGTGTTATTTAAAAGGCGTGTTTGCCAACAGCCTTCTTTTGATCATGAATGAGATGCTTTCGTTTTTGTTATACCCTAAAGCAGACTCTACATTGAAAACTGGGAAGCAGAAATCAGCTCTATCCATACTATGCCATACTGGAGTCCAAAGTTTTAGCTTAATGAGGTGCTATTGTAAATGTTACCCTTCTGTACCTGAATATTCTAATCAATACAAGAATATGTAAGCTCCTTGGAGCAGATACTAGTATGTGTGTATGTGTGTGTGTGTGTGAGAGACAAAGAGAGAGAGAGAGAGAGAGAGAGAGAGAGAGAGAGAGAGAGAGAGAGAGAGAGAGAGAGAGAGAGAGAGGTGTATGTGGTATATATGTGTGATTTCATTTTGTATCATATGTACTTTATCTAGTACCTTTTATATAGTAGATACTGAATTTTGGTTTGGTTTGCTTTTTGGTTTGAAAGAGAGAAGGGAGGGTCCAAATGGAAGACAATATGACTCCATACCACTACTTTAGATGTATTTTGCCTCACCTAGAAATGGTGAGTGTGGATCCAGGTTGATCAGACACAGAACAAAAGTGAATTGTTGTTTGAGTTCAACATATATGTATATGCTCAGTCATAAAAGTCACTGCAGGAGGAAAATCTATGGGGGAAAAAGTACATTAGGGGAAGAATTAATGGGTAGTAATAGCACTACAAAAAAGAAAAAGAAAAAAGAAAGAATTCCAGTGAAGCATTAAAAAATATAGCAGAACCAAGTAGTTCGGAAGGGGACACAGACAAACAGAGGACTTTTGTTCCCATCATGTTAAATTTAATATACACTTAAAACTAAGTATCAAATTCACAGTTACATGTAAAATCCTCTTTTCTGTTCATCTTTGTGTTTTAAAATATGCATGTTTATGTTTGTGGAGTTCATAATAAAACAGAAAATTGAATCAAAAAAGCAAAGCAAAGACTTAATTGTCAGTGTTAACCTGTAACTTAAGAAATTTTTGTGGGATTCAGCTTCATAGGTAACTTCCAGTTGAGCATGACACTAACTTCTCTTCCACCCTTTTATAGGCTATATTATGCTTTAGTAACTATATCTCTTCCCAGCCAAATTCATGCCTTT